CAGGGTGATCCAGTGTATGTGAACAGTGAGATGTTTGGGCGCTGAGGTCGCCATAGCCAATTGGGAGTGAACTCGTATCTGAAAACCATATCTCTGAGTTTTGAGTGGGCGCATGTCGCCAGTATGCTGCGTTACTGTTTACATGTGTGAAAAGTGTGTTTGAAAACGAGTCTGATTGCACGTTGGTCTGCTTTTATTGATACCTTTGCTTTCGAACTCAAAACAATTAAAGGTAAGTCTAATGTTGTAGCAGACGCACTATCTAGGAGGAGTGACTTCTTTGGGGCTATCGTCTCTTAGCTGGATGTCGGGAATGATGTGAAAGCTCAGATTCGCGCTGGATATGCCACTGACCCTGTTTGGAAACCAATCATGGATATCCTAGTCAAGGATCCATCCCAACTTCCTCACTACCGATTGTCTGATGGCTTACTCTTCTTGTTAGACCAAACTGAACAGAGATTATGCATTCCTCACAAGGAAGATCTTAAAAGTCTGCTGATTGGGGAATGTCATGACACAGAGGGACACTTTGGTTTCAAGAAGACGTATGCTGAAGTACGTGAGCACTATGAATGGAAGGGTTTGAATGAGGATGTGCTAACATATGTTCGTTCATGCCAAGTATGTCAGAGAAACAAACCGTCTACTGAGAAACCTTTGGGGTTACTCCGACCACTACCTATACCGAGTGAGCCAGGTGAGTCTGTATCCATTGACTTTATGAAACTCACCAAGTCCCAAAATGGCAATAGTCAAGTTATGGTTGTGGTTGATCGTTTCTGTAAATATGCTATGTTCATACCCTTGCCTGTGGAAGCGAAGACTGAGCTTGTGATTGCTAAATTTCAGATGCGACGGGTAACTGAATATGGGTTCCCTATGTATATCGTCTCTGACCGCGATGTCAGATTCACAAGCATGCCTTGGCAGAAATTGATGGAAGCCTACGGTACACGACTCACCATGTCGTCAGGTAGACACCCTGAAACGAATGGCCAGTCTGAGCAAATGAACCGTATGGTCCAACAACTTCTGAGAATGTATGTCCGTCCTGACCAAATAGACTGGGATGAGAACTTACCCAAGATTGCCGGTGCATATAACAATAGTGTGCATATCGCGACGGGACGCACACCTAATGCACTGCACAAGGGCTGGAAGCCTAAGCGTCCCATTGATGTTTTAACCAGGGATCAATTTCTTAGACTTCCACCAGGGACAAAGGAATATGCCATTATGTTTCAAGAAGACATAAAAAAGGTGAAGGAGGATCTGAGGAAAACCCAAGAGCGCATGATTGAACAAGCTAACAAACAACGACGCCCGTCTACTTTTCAAGTTAGTGACTTGGTCTGGGTTAAGTCCAAAGAATTCACTCTAGAAGAGGATGTTTCTTAGAAACTGATGCCTGTCTATCTAGGACCCTGGGAAGTTCTCAAGGTGATAGGGGATGCCGATGGACCATCATACCGGATTGACATTCCCCCTCATCTTCGGACATACCCCGTCTTTCACGCGTCTAAACTCCTTCCATATGTAGAAGGAACAGAATTTCCTGACCTACCATCTGCCATACCTCCTTCTATGAATGGCAGCTATGTGGTTGAGAAAATTACTGACCATGGATTCTTTTCTACTGGTGGAAGAGGCAGACCTCAGAAGCAGTATAAAGTAAGATTCCAGTTCCAAGATGCCTCTGAAGACCGTTGGCTTAGCAGACGGGAACTGATGGATACTGCTCCTGATATTGTTGCTAGCTATGAACGCGGTTTAAAGTCTTAAGTATTTCTGCGGTGGAACTCGAATTTGGGCCGGCAGGACTGCAGTAAACCGCGTTCAGCAGCGGCCTGGGCGCTGTAACCCAAGCCCAGGCCCAGCGAGCAGTGCGACCACGCGCTGCTCGGCCTCAGGCCGATGCGGGTGACTGTGTGACCRCGCACAGAAAGAAAYTCAAAGRTCAAAGTGAACTGTAGGTCCAGGAACCTCGCCCAGGCCCTTGGTCGTGTGCATCGACTTGTATGTGTGCAGGTACCCAGTCAGAACGGTGGACCAAGGAGGATACAGTTTCAACCCAATCCAGGCCGTCGACGACAATCGATCTCGGCCGTGTCTGACTTGAGGACTGGTGCCCAGACCCCGCCGTCAACACTACATATTGGGCTGATTTCCTGGCTTTGACATCTAGACTCTCGTCTGGAGTCTATGGGGACTCGACGCTCTCGCGTCAATGCCGGCTCTATGCTGTCTTGCTGGCGAGACACTGCGGAGAACTTGACGACCGGCGCTCGTCGCTGGTTCGTGGCTTGAGTGTGCTGTGCGACCAGCATGCTGTCTGGCGCACTACTGTCTGAGGGGTTATCGACGTGGCAGATGCCACRAGTTATCTTCGTGGCTGCTGCCACGTAGTATTGCTGCTGAGATGGAAGGCGCTGGGCGCCTATATTGCTGTTCTGCTTGACAAGTATTCGGAAGAAGGATCCAGGACTGTGGTTTGGGTCGTGATACGTACCTGGTGTCTTCAACTTCGTCGTCACGTTGCTGTTTGGTGACTGGTCTGCTGGTGCCACGTGGCACTATTGGTCTACATTGTCTTGGATATCCGGATCTCTGATTGAGACACGATTATGCGGTTAGGAGGAAGTGCCCGAAGAGGAAGTAGGCTGTAGGGAGGAGACTCTTCCACCCTCACAAAGTCTATTCTCCCTCCTCCCTCTCTCGTCTGTGTATGCATTCTCTCTCATTTTGGGATCATTATTATTATGATTGATGAGCAGCGTTCGTCTATTTTGTCTTTGCGAGTGACGACTGATTATCATGACTGGGCACATTGCACCAAAAAAGGAAAACCGCAGCGGGTACAGAGGTCGCCCGCCTACACGGTTGATTTCGGGAACTTGGGGCGTACTCGCACTAGGTCCTTATAAATGCAGAATTGCAAAATCAGCAGCCAGATCCAGTCCTTGTGATATTAGAATGAATCTTGTGCTAGAACATCAAACCACCAACACCTCTCCCATATATCGGATGCGGGCCCCTCACTGCGACTTTCGGAGGCCCGAAACGCAAAACGGGCCCCCGATGAAATTTGTCAACGGCGGCCTGGCCCCGAAAGCTGTGGCGGTTAATACACCGCGTATTTGGTTTCTGATCTGGGAAAGGTGCTGGTGGTTTAAGAGATCCACTGCCATATTTTTTGTGTTTCGACTCTTGAGCATATTGTGAGTGTTGGGCAAGGCCCTAACTCAGGCCATACTAAAGCTAGTACTTCCCTAAACGTATCTGAACGCAATTATGGCCCCACCGGGACACAGCGGACTGCAGTTGTGGATTCGCTTGTTGGTAAACCGCTGTGATCTTTTTTCCCTTTTTCCTTTCTGGAAGAAAGGACAAAGAGAATGGAAAAAAAGAAACAACCAGCGTGGAAGCTCGTCGATGGCAAGTTGGACTGACAACCTTTCCACATAGGCTTGGTTACGAGATCGGAAAAAGGTTCATGAAGGCTGAAGCGAAGGTGCTGGTGGTTTAAGAGCCCTCTCATGTATGAGCAGCCTTTCACCGGCGAGAATAATTTTCTACGGCATGATGTTTCCTTCTGACCACCCAAAGGAGGCCTCTTTTTGCCTGTTTTTCTCATATGGCCTTGGTAAGAACCCTTACCGCTACGCTGTGTCCAACCTTGCAGTATTCACAGTATTGGGCAACTTGAAGCCCCTTGTACAGTCCATCGCTGTCACTCTCTGTCTCCCGCAGACGAAAAAGACATGCACACCCATAGATTCTCCTCATTCCTTTTCTTTTTCTACTCTGGCCCCTTCTTTTTCCTCCCTCTCTTCCCTGCTTCTCTGCTCTTCACCTACATGGTTGCCTTCCGCTTCCTCTGTACCCTCCGCAGATTTCTCATTCATGAATGGAGGAGCATTTGCGAGAGAACAGATGAAACTGCCGGGGTTCAACATCCTGATGAGTCTGTAAAGTCTGACAAGACAGTCTGGCGCAGTCATGCCCTTTATGTGGAGGTGTAGCGAACCCGACAACACACACATGCACACAGGCATACACTACACAGACCGAGCGAGCGCGCGAGCGAGCGAGCGAGCGAGAGAGAGAGAGAGAGAGAGAGAGAGAGAGAGAGAGAGAGAGAGAGAGAGAGAGAGAGAGAGAGAGAGAGANGAGAGAGAGAGAGAGAGAGAGAGAGAGAGAGAGAGAGAGAGAGAGAGAGAGAGAGAGAGAGAGAGAGAGAGAGAGAGAGAGAGAGGGCGCTTATACTACAGACAGTTCCTAGTGGGTGCTTCCAGAGATGGCGAAGCTACCTCCTTGCTCTGTTCATGTGGAACAGAGTGCTGGTGTGGAGTGTGCCGCATTGCTAGCATTGACTTTGCGAGTAACAAGAATGTTGCTGTGTTTATTTTGCAGACAGTTGTTGGTGAGCTGGGGAGCAACAAGATTCGCAACGTGATGGACATGAATGCTGGATATGGAAGCTTTGCTGCTGCCCTTGTTGACATGCCTGTTTGGACAATGAATGTTGTTTCAACGTATGGCGTGAATACCCTTGGTGCGGTGTTTGATCGGGGCCTGATCGGCACGTATCACGACTGGTAAGTCTGCTGCTTCTGCCTGCCTTCCAGCCCCAAGGGGCTTTGACTGTAACTCTCATGGAACGTTTTTAGCTGGCTTGAAACGTTTTTGGCGGGTTCTGTTACTCTCTTGTAAACTATCTGGTTCTGAAGTGCTGGTCCCCAATGCTGGTCTCTGAACTCCTTATAGGTTTAGAGACTGGTGTGACTAAATGAGAAAACATTCGCTGAACAGCCAGCACACGGTCGTAGCCATGCAGGAAATGTTTCGTTGCGTACTCCGAAAATTTTGCACCTCGGCCCTACAGGGCTGCAATGGCTGGTGGCCCCAGCAAAACTAAGGGAAAACCTTCAAAAAAGTGTGCCGCTGGCTGATTGGGAAAGCTTGGCGTGCAGTGCAGTGCCTCCAGGGTAGGGTGTACTTGTGGCTTAAGTACATGTTCGGTGCGTTTGTTTTGAGTCTTTTGACCTCAAGTGTGCCAGCGCTTCCAGATTTAAACCACTACCGTCTTAACCCGAATAGAACGCCCGTTCATTATCGCTGCATTTGGACTTTAAAATGCCCCAAATACAGTCCTAATGATAGGGCGTTGTATTCGTTTTTTTTTCCAAAACGACAACGGTAGTAGTGTCCTCCCTCCGACGTCAAGAAATTGGGGGGACCTGTAACACAGTTTCATCAGGGCTACCGGTAGCACAGTGTGGAGAACCGAAAGAGTGACAAAACCTGAAATGTGTCGAATTGCATCCTCAATTTATTTCGTGGTGTAATTTTTTTTTTTTTAATTTTTAAATTGTTTTTCCTGTAAAGATCACGAGCAAATCCACGGACCCTCCCATTTTCAGCGTTTTTGAAGCATTCTTCGAGCGCAAAAATCGCTGAAGTCGGAGTACGTTTCCCGTTGACCCACAAATGGCACAGTGGCAAAACTGGAACATGCACGGAATCGGCGCGGTGATTTTTTTGACTTCAAAGTTCAAACTGATTTTTTCTTTTAAATTTTTCTGATATTTTTCTTGGAAAGATTATGATGAAATCTATGGACCTTCAAATTTTTAAAATTTTCTGTGAATCCTTCTAAGCGTTAAAAAAAAAAAAAAAAAAAAAAAAAAAAAACCTGCCGAGGTTGCCGATATCAAATTGCGGAACTAGGCCCACCGTTCCGGCCTCCTGTTGCCGCCCTCCCTCAAAACCCCGCCCGAACTCACAGAGGGGGCTATTTCCTGCTGTGGGAGGGAGTGGTTGTTTAATTAAAAGTTGGTTTGTTGAGAGTATGGGCTCTCAGAGTTTGCTTAGAAAACCGAAGAAAATCATCTCTGGCCGCCCGGAAGATTCTTTGTTTGCTGGTTCCAGTGGATTGAAGTATTTTTGCGATGATTCAGGACTTTGTCAGAGTATAATGGGATCAGATTTGAGATCATTTATAGTGTTGCGGAATATTCAGCAATGCCAAGTTGGAAAGTATGTCGTGGTCGCTGGTCTTGTGGGTATGATGTAGATTTGATATGCGAGCTGGAGTTTTGTTTAAGGAAGAGCCACATTGCCTTATCCCGTCTTCTCGTCGAAGTAATTGTGTGCTGGGTTATGTTTGAGGGCAAAGTGCCGTCTTGTGGTTGATGTCAAATCGTCTAGAGAGAAATGCTAAACCAACAGTCCATCCCAACGGATGTTGTCATCAGTCATAAAAAGTGAAGCACATTAGTTTTTTTTTTTTTTTTTTTTTTTGTTTTGTTTTTTTGTTTTTTGTTTAATCTCTTTTTATTCCAAGCGGAAACAAGAGGCCGGGGACCTCACAATTCAACCCGGAGGATGAGGTGGTTAAATATACACAAGCGGATTTTTCACCGGTACTACGAGTTGGCAAACATAAAGAGGTAGTGTGTGAGAAAATGACAGGCAGGTAGGCCTTACTTATCATGGCGGCCTTATCACTGGTACTCCGTTTTATTTCCTTTCTTGTCTACTTTTTCTGTTTGTTTGTTTTTTTGTCCGTGTTTTGTTTTTTATGTGCGGAATCTAGTGGAATCGGGCCTAGCTCAGTTGGTATACCCTTGAACCGTTGAAACACAACCCTGAGTTCAAATCAGGATGAACGAGATGATATTTGAAACCACCATTACATCCGAGCCTCGTTTGCACGAGGTTGATTCCCCTCGCGGCCCACGATGTGCCAAAACGCCAGCGCTGCGCTTTTGCTTGTTTTCGTTTTGTCTGGCACCGTGCTCCGTTTTTTGTTCTAGATGCCCCGAGCCTCCGAACTTTTACTGGTGGCTTAAGGCTGTTGCCTTCTTTTTTTAAATAAAGAATAGCAAAATGGAAATAGGGCCACAATTCCGCCCAACCTCAACTGAGAGCCTACTCACGCTAGCACTTCCCCAAGTGTATCTGGCATTAATCATTATGGCTAGTGTGAAGCATGCCTTTGAAAATTGGACCTCGTTAAATTAGTCAGCAAATCCGCCCTGCTGAGCTGGCAGGGTGGTTTTCCAATGCAAGAAGAAAGTAAAACAAGACCAAGAAAAACAAAAGAAGCCACCTGGTTAGTTATTTATTTCAGGTTTTCTTTGATAAGTTCTTTGTTTGACCTACACCCCCTACGATTCATCATTTCTAGTCCTGCGGCGGTACTTTTTTTTTTTGTGGGCGCATCAGCCCTTCCCTACGGTTGCACTACCGGTATTCGTATATGAGTTTTGGATGAATAGTGGTTTCAGATGGACTGGTGGTTTGAAGATCCACTGTGTCTGAGGCTGTTCTTACCTATCTGAAATCGCGAGGCATGCCAAATAAAACGAACTGGTGCGAGTGCGATTTCTTTTCTTCTTGGACGTCTGCAAACTCACTCAGTTTTTTGGATGTAGCCCTGCACCTTCGAAAGCTTTTGATGTGGGCAAAGTTGGCAAACTCACTTCATTGTTTTCACTTGGGGCGTTTAGTGGTGGTTTAAGGCAGTCAATTGATACGCAACGTATGTAGTGTACTTGGAGACCTTCAGTACGGGGTCTCTATTTATATACAGCGATGGTGAGTTGGTGCATACTAGAGCTGTCTCTCAAAAGGTGTCTTTTGGGTTTCGACGTTTTGGATCCATGGCTCTTTTTGTTCAGGTGTGAAGCTTTCTCAACGTACCCAAGAACATACGACATGTTGCATGCTGCCGGCCTTTTCAGTGCAGAGGGTCACAGGTGAGATGAGAAGCCAGTCCTCCCTCGTGTCGGTCACTCCTTTTAGGGTCTCACTCCACTCCTTGCCGAATGTGAAAGATGGTGTGTGTTGTGCTGTCTTGTTCGAATGATTAATTTAAAGTTTAAACATGTCAAGGCCTGCAGTGCCTATGTGGCGGTGAAAGCAGGGCGTCCTCCCTGTATCTGTTTCAGACCTTCATTAGAAGAGGGCGTTCCTCTCTGCCAATCCTCAGATACTCAACTTGAGCATTGACGACTCCAAGCGCTCTATTGGTCCCCAACACCGTGCTGCATGGATGCAATCCTCAGGTACCGGTTCGACTTTGACCAGTCTGGCTGGGTACCGACGTGATCTTTTGACGTTTCGGCCTCTTGGGCCTCTTTTGGACTTGGGGTCCCTGACCCGAGAACCGGTACTCAGGGCTAACATCGTGAAATCCTTTCACTATGGTCAAACGTTTCTCTCTCTCTCTCTCTCTCTCTCTCTCTCTCTCTCTCTCTCTCTCTCTCTCTCTCTCTCTCTCTCTCTCTCTCTCCCCCCCCCCGCCCTGCCCCCCAACCCACCCACTCACACACACACATGCAGGTAGCACAAGTGATTTTTACGGCGAAGGGACAGAAGATGTCCACGATGTGTGTTGCATGTGTTGTGTGGGGCGTAGCATCCTTGGAAAGAGTGGGCTGACGTATGGCGGGAAAGAAAGCACCTTCTTGAGCGGCTCGGTGGTCTGGAACACGGGTGCCATACCATTTTGTACATTTGACCAAGTGATGAAGAGAGGGCCGTTACTCTCTGCCAGCTTCTGTCAACATCTTGACACTGCACTTTGTGATATTCACTTTGTTTGCTACTGAGGTCTGTGGGCGTCGTTCCGGGATGTGACCCGTTTGTTTGTCCTGCTTTGGTCGAGTTGTCGATGTTGAAAAATGGAATGGATGTTTGCAGTGGTGGATGTGACCTTTTCCAGTACCTGAACACTCTCTTTCAAATTGCCTTTGCCGTTTGTCAGGCTAACTGCTGCTGTTTGGTCCTTCGTGCCATATACTCTTGAAATGGACTTTTGCAGATGCGAGCTGACGGATGTTATGCTGGAGATGGACCGCATCCTTCGTCCCAACGGAGTTGTAATTGTTCGCGATCTTGACTATGTAGTTGAGAGGGTGGCCAATGCCGCCAAGCTGATGCGCTGGAATTGTCAGTCTTTCTCTGACGATAGTCGTTCAGCTGTTTCCGAGGAGGTCTTAGTTTGCAGGAAGGAATTCTGGACGATCTAGAAGTTGAGCGGCGACCGTCTCGTGCTGGACGCAGGTCGCCGAAGCGGCTGTCGACCCTGCTTAAAGCGCGGTGGTCGGCTGATTCAGGCGAGCGTAGAGCAAGGTAGGAGTTGTAGACAGACCCATTGTTGTTACCTACTGGTTTCCCTCTTCTCTTCTTTGAGAAGTTTCAATTGGGAATGAGATGAAATTGCTAACTTTCGCGAATGTCGTTTTACTTCATCATGTAGGATTCTCTGTGTCCCTTTACCGTGGAGCAAATTAGGAGGGTTTCACTTTCGAAGGCGCTGGTACCTGAGAGCCAAAGCAGTCTATATGCTATGTGTTGTATTCTGTGTTAGGTTGATGCCGGAGTCATCGTCATAAATGGTGCGAAACACAACAGAGTTACGGGTAATTTGCGGGGAGGCCCACTTCCCCTGGGCGGAAACCGGGCTTAGGTGGCAGATGCGGCAAGGCACTTGACTGGTGGAAGGAGATAAATCTCGTGGGAGTTCGCGAGGCATTCAAGGTCATCAGCAAGAGAAGAAGAAAGTGACGCCGACGCGCACACTGGAGAGAGACCCTACGCACGTTTCAACCGGTCCCCAGTTTGGGATCGTCGGGGGTGAGAAGAACATGGCTAGGATGGGCAAATCATGAAGAATCTGGTGAAAAGCGAGTCGGAGCACGTGGCGACTGCGGGCATGGGGTGTAAGTGTCCGAATCGCACGGCTTCTGC